TATATATATATAATCAATAAAACTCATCAGGTGAGAGGAGCAAAACCTGAAAATTGACGTCTCATTTTATCCAGAGCATCAAACTAATCAATAAGCATATCTGCATTCACCTGCCTTGAGCAAACAAGTTCAGCTTTAAGGCTCTCTTTTTAATTTACCAGCAGTGAACTGAGGGACATTTTTATGGATTGAAGAGTGAGTGACTGATGTGTGTGTGCAGCTTGTGCAGCTCTGCATGCCTCCCTCTGGAGCTGACAAAGGTGTGTAAAGGTGGGCTTTCATGTATCTGTCTGTAGGAAATTCAGCAGACTATTACGTTTTTAACCTTGACTGCAGACTTGCACAGATTTTTAATAGCCTCTAATATCCAAAATTTCTCTAATCATGTTTTTTTATGAAGTTATGAAACTACATCATCATAAATTTTAAGTATAAATAAACAAACTGGCCTCGCCCTTTGTTGCAATAAGCGAGGCTGGCTTATTTATTTAACAATTTTGATTTCATTTTTGTACTTTTGTATAAACAAAAAAGACAAAATACAGCTATTTGTCTCTTTGATTTTGTCATATTTTTCCTGCTCATGAACACACACAAGTATGGTCACAGGAATACTCAAATTCTTTAGAATGTCTTATTGTTTTCTTACGATCCACCACCAGCTCAGCTATTATTGCACTGTTCCAAACACACACTCAATCATCCACCGTCAGTCTTATACATCGCTACACTTTCACCATGGCAACTGACTGAATGAGGCAACAACATCCTTGGCTGTTTTCAGATGCTTCCAAAGACACCGACCTTGTCACAACAGTTTGCGACAGAAAGACAAAGAAAGAGGTTTGAGCCTGTGAGAACAAAGACCGATGTCTTATCTGTGTGGAAACGGGCTCCAGCCTTCCATTCCACATTCAAGATCGACGAGTTTGTTGGCAAAAGTTTGGCTCAGAGAGCATTACACACATCCAGATTGTCTTATTGTGTCTTGTCTGACCTTGTTGTAACACGACATCAGCGTTACTCTCAAACAAGACTATGGCCAGAAAAGACTAATAAGCCATCTGTTCACCAAACCATCCTTTTTACGTGTTTCCAACTGCATTTATGGAACGAACAGAGGCAAACTACTCAGTAAGAAAAACAGAATGAAAGGTCTGTATTACTTAAAAGAGACATATCATGTTTTTAATCCTTCTTTTTTGCATTTAATCTATTTAGTTGGCATCTATATAAAGTAGAGCTGCAATGCTTTGGTCTGAATTCCTTGTTATTGTAACTCCACAATCCCCCTTTTTCAGTCCTTTTCTGACGTGTGTCTTTAAATCTAAACGAGGTGCTTCACACCCCACCCCCTCCAGCTTCCAGATCTGTTCATTCTAGTTTGAGAGAGGGTTTTATGACTATACAACAACACTGAATTTTTTTTTATTTACAAATTGATTAAAAGACGTCAGCAACAGAAGACTTGTCCATCCAGACTTACATGTTGGAACCAGAGCCAGAGGAGAATGAAGACCACCAAAGTTTGGCAGTTCTGTGACGTAATAGTTGAGAAAATGCCATAGGAAATAGAGAAAACTGAACGGGTTGAAAAATATGACCCAAACAGACACAACAAAATGTATTTAACGTCTAAAAAAGTGGATTCTGCATGATATGTCCCCTTTTCTTTCTGAAAATGTAAAAATTCTTAGTTAACTTGTAAAAAGTTCTGCTTTGTTTTTATCAATTCACATACTGGAGAAATGCATATAAATCATTGGGCCTCATGCAAGAACATGTTCGTATTCTTATCCTAAATTTCTCTTACTTTTGTTCGTATGAAGGGTTCGTACGAACATGTCACGTCAGATTCAACAAACTCTTCTATCTTCAGGAAAAGTGCATTAATGAGCTGCGTAATTTCCACCTGTTCATATAAGGCTGTGTTTCCTGCCTCAGATACAAGTGTTCATTCATGAAAATGACAGCAAAAACTAAAAAAAAAAAACTTTCCGAGTTCAGAGATTGAAGTCCGTCTGCAGAGATCCAGAAAAGAAAATCTGTCATTTTTAGCAGGTCAGCTGTGGGATAAAAAGAGCTGCTAAAAGTATAAACAACTGTGTTAAATCATTTTCATTTATTCAGAAGCCAAAGCGCTGCGCACCGTACCCCCACACCCCCCATACAAATTTTGTTCGTATCTGAAAAAAATCTTAGAATACGAAAACATTGGTGAATGCCACAAATTCTCCTAAATCACTCGTACGCACAACTTGAGAACAAATCTGTGCGTACGAACGGTTCTTGCATGAGGCCCAATGTCTCTAATTCTCCCTCTCAGATTATTCCTACTTCTAAAGGATTATAATCTTTCCACACACAGTCACAACTATTTTTCCATAATAAATAAATGTTCAGTAAAACAGTCAAATTTTTAGATCAAGCGTTGACTTAAAGTAAAGTAACAGCTGTGCTGGGAGGTAAGCTCTCTCACCGAACAATTTTTCAGGTTTCATTACAGAATAATTCACAGCTCTGTGCGACAGCGGTTTACCAGAACGTTTCTAATGCTGATATCAAACCGGGTCAATAAGTGGCTTTCCCGGGAATGGAGTCATTTGTCACAGAGACCAAATTCATCCTGACTCAGCACCTTGAGGATCTCTGAGTTCTACTCCAGGTTCAAATGCAGCAAATGCAACGTAAAACTCATAAATCATTTTCTTCGTACCTTTCCCTCCCAGAGGAACAGAAACTAATACACCGCAGCTGCACGCCGCACTCCAAACATAACTTTCTACACTGAACTTCTCTGTCAAATTGCATTAGCAGAAGTATTTATTTGGTCGTTGTTGCTTTCGATCGCAACAAAGTTGTAAAAATGAATGACTACTTCCTGCACTAAAGGCACTTATGAAAGTTCTCAGTCTCTGCTCTGTGGTTGTTAGTTTTTAAACAACTGAAGGGAAGGTAGATGAAGACATAGTTGCAGTTTATCACTAACATGTTTGTCCACAGCAGATTAGCCTGTAGCAAGTGACTGGAACTGTCCATTATGTCAGCTTGAATACTGCACACACAAAGCTACACAGTGAGCCCCTCAGAACACAAACACACTCTGTGGTTTGTTACGCAGTACTGTGTTTCTGTAGGAGTCTGAGGAAGTTAAAGTGTGGAAGTTAAGGTGCGTAAAGGCATCAGTTTTCTACGAAGGAAGTTGCATTGCTTAAATCAAATGCACTGTCAGTTGTGTGAGACTCATTAAGCCAGCCTCAGCACCGGGCTAAAACACACAAACACAAATGAAAGGGAATTATTCAGAGTCTACAGCTCCTCTTTTTTTTCTTTCTCCTCTATCTGTTTAAATTAAAGTTTGATTTATCTTTAAGCAGCATTCATTGCAAACAGTTTCAATTTTTAATGCGTATTGTGCTGATGAAACATAATGCTAATGGGAGCGACACAGTAAATGAGTTTACAGTTAAGAAAGTGCAACAACACTGAGTTTGCAGATCGGTGTGTGTGCAGCTGTAATGCCAGCTAGGTGTGAAAGCACCTGTGTGTGTGTTCCGTATCTGCATGTGGGCTTCATGGTAATGAGTCAGGATGTTAGTATTAGCTTGCGGGCTGGTGAGGGATGCTACAGGGATGGCAGCGCCTCCCTGCTTCCCCTCCATGCTGCCAGGCCTGCGGCTTTATCACTGTTACACTATACATCCTCCATTAAACACACACACGCATCTATTTTCATTCTCTCCAGTTTTGCTTTGATCTTTAACTTTCATTAAGTTTTCTTTTGTTCACTTCTACTTTTACCATGACCGGTATTTTACGTGTAACTTTTAATACTTATCAACCAGACACTTACTGCACGTTATATTTGTCACATTTGGTGGATTGCATTTTAAGTTTGGACCCAGGGCGCAGACAGAAGAAGTTGTAACTAAAACTTAAGATTTTATTAACAAACTGTAAAACAAAATGCTGTTGTGGCAGCGAATAAGACAAATTAAAGCAAAACTCTCTCTAAAAGCAGCGAACAGAGCCGACTTACTGCTGACAGAGCCAGGGAAGACAATATAATGCCAGATTACTGAACAAACACACCAGGAATATAAAGTGAACTCATGAACTGAAACCACTGATGCCTGTGCAACCAGGATCAGGTGCAGGTGTAGCAAAAATAGAAGTAGGAACAAAGCAGTGAACCAAGGGCAGACCAACCAAAAATACACTGAACAGAACAAAACACAGAATAAATACAAAAAAAGCACAGGTCTTGACAGTGTTAGGGCCACACTATGAGATGTTTTTTAAAATTATAATGAAACCATAATATTAAAAGAAAAAAATTGTTCAAGAATAAAACTCAGACAGTACGGGAATAAAGTCATAATAGTACAAGAAAAGAAATCATAATACTATGAGAAAAATGCAATAATATTACGAGAAAAAAGGTCATAATATTATAGGAAAAATGGCATACACAAACATCAAAACAATACAGGAATAAAGTCAGAATATTACAAGAAAAAAATCCTATTACGAGAAAAAAGGTGTATGAGACAAAAAAGTTTAATTAAAACGGGAATAAAGTATTACTAAAAATGAGTCATAATATCAGAAGAAAAAAGGCATAAAGAATAAAATCTAAATAATATGGGAAACAAAGTCAGAACATTACAAGAAAAGCATCAGAGTTTTATGAGAAAAAAATTGTATTTTAATAAAGCCAAAATAGTACGAAAATAAAGTCAAAATATTACAAGAATAAAGTCAATGTTTATAGACATATTGTTGTACCTAAAAATACATTTAGTTGATGCAGCAGAAACTGAATTAAAGCTGGGGACAGTTTGATAAGCCGACATTAAAAATGGTACTGGAGGTTCCCTCTGCGTCTTTATCCCCGTCACACACAACCTGGTTTTCTCTTACTCCTTTAATTATGGGTATGAATAATTTGCCTTAATCATCTCTGCTCAGTTGGTCTTGCATGTTTAATCGATACCTGCAGAACTGAACTGCAGCTGTTTAATGAGCTGCAGCTCATAAATCTCTAAATTATGATCAGATGTCACTCTCGTTCTCCTGCTTGCTTTCACACTTGTTGTGTGCGCAGCTGTCATCTTCAGTTTTTGCACTTCTTGGTGTGCTTCTTTGTACGTCAATTCCCAAACGAGTCGCCAGTGTTTTCCGGCTGTTTGATTTTGAGCTTCTTGTGCCCCATATTTTCCTGTCTGAAAACCTGCTATTTATCTTACACTACTTCTGTCACGTGCCTTTTTCAGCGTTTTAATTAGTAATTTGTGCCGATGTTCTGCCTTTTTAAAATCTTCTCATTGCTTTAGTTCTCTCCAATGCTCTACAAACACGTTTTCCTTTTTCTCTCTTCTCTTTTTATTTCTCTTTTATCTTTTTGTCCACCATATTTCTGTCACATTGTATTCACCTTACTAAGAAAATCTGGAGGTTGGCCTGAACTCAGACTCTTTCTCTTGGTCTCCAGTGTATGGGCATTCATTCTGCGAACCCAAATACCAGTTTAACCCAGTAGGAGCGCTGGCAGACTACTATGCAAAGATGGGTATATAATTATTTCCTTTCTTCTAGTAAATTAGTTGGCTGCCTTCTCGCTGTCTTCAGACACTTTGTTTTTCTTTACATCCAATTTGAAAAAATGTTGAAATTGTCACAATGTGTCAAAGAAAAGAACTTTCCTGGCTCAGAGGATGCCTTATTTTGCAAACCTTAAAAGAAAATGAATCATTTCTGTGGATTTCGTAACAGATTGATTAGCAGATTCCACACATTTTAAGGGTTAAATTACATTATAAAACCTAAATTGTGGAAAGAAAAAAAAGAGAGATTATGAATCCAGACTGGTATGGGGTGCCATTTGTAAAGTTACACAGTCAAAAATTACCACCGATATTTTTGTTTTATTTAGCCTTTTATAAGGAAAAAAGAACAGATTTTTTTTCAAAGTTAGTTTTTCACCATGTGATTCATACATTTCTAAATGTCATAGTTTATAAACTAAATATTTAACTTACAAATTAAATATTTAGTTAACAAGATAAATATTTAACTTGTGACTTAAATATTTAATTTTGAGCTAAATGTTTAGCTTGAAACCTAAATATTTAGCTAGCTACCTAAATATTTAACTAAAATATTTAGCTAGCTACCTAAATATTTAGGTTGCAACTTAAATATTTAGCTAGCTACCTAAATATTTAAGTTTCAAGCTAAATATTTAAGTTTCAAGCTAAATATTTAGCTCAAAACAAAATATTTAAGTCACAAGTTAAATATTTAGCTCATTAACTAAATGTTTAACTTGTAAGTTAAATATTTAGTTTATAAACTATGACATTTATCATGTATGAATGAAATGGTGAAAAACTGACTTTGAAAAATAAATCTGTTCCTTTTTTCTTATAAAAGGCTAAATAAAACAAAAATAAGGGTGGTAATTTTTGACTGTGCAACTTTACAAATGGCACCCCATAGATTCGAGCCACAAGCTTGTGAGATGATCTGGCTTTACAGTGAACAACCACACTGCCATAAGGAATAAAATAAATAAATCAACAAATCAAACTTGTTTCTCCATAGCTAGACATTTCAAATGTCACAAAGCACAACAGGAGTCCAACATTTCTCACTTTCACACACAGAAAAGCTTAAGCACCCGTTCATTCACTCACCAGGTTCACACAAGCAGCTGTGTCGCTCCCAGACGTCAGAACAGTGACTGTGAGCCGGGCAAGGTGACGAGACGCAGGGGTTGGCGACATTACAACCAGTCTCCACTTTGACCGCTCTGGATGGGCGGGGCAGGGCGGGGGAGTCGGGCCTCACACCCAGTCGAACCCCCTGTCAGCAGAAACAGAGGCTTGTGTTAAGAGAGTTCAAAAATAACAGAGAATATGTATCCATTCATGATTCTTATTCCCATCACTTAAAAAAAGACATTAAAGTATTCAACCATCCGTCCATCAAAACATTAAAACTCAACCCATTAATCCTCACCTGTATGCATCCTTTTATCCCGTTCTGAACCTCGCCGGAGCCCAGCACTCCTCCAACATGCAGGTGTTTCACCTTCAAACCGTGAATCTCATTTCCCACTATTACTGTTCCCTGATGGGGAGAGACGGGGTCAGACAGAGAGGCCAAACATTATTTATTAATAGCCATATGCAAACTCAAATGGGAACATTGAAAAATCATTATTTGACCTTGTAGACGATAATTTATTTGCTAAAAAATGTCACAACGGACCTTAGAAAACATAGCAGTGTCTACAACTCAGACACATACAAATGTTATATCTTACAATATCATAGACGATTGTGCATAAAAGTATTTTCAAAGTTTGACCAAAACAACTACAAGTCATTAATCAGCATAAGATGATCTCTAAAACTCTGACATGAAAGGGACAGATATAGTTTAAGTCTTTAATTTTTTATAGTTTACATCAAATCAACTGAATAAGTAAGAATGAAAATATCACTGACTGTTCATCCTTTTTATGTTAAATTAACAAATGTTTGACTTCAGTGCAGTCAGCTTGTTTTGAGTCCTGTGACAGTTAAAAAGAAAATTAGCGGAGGAGATTGCACGAAGCAGAAAAGAAAGATGAATTTAATCAAACAAAAGAAAAAAACAAAGTGCTCTAACTCTTAAAAAAAGTCTGTATTTTGATTACAGCTCTAACATGTTTGACAGGCAACTTGCTAAAACTGAGGAGCATTAGTACACATTCAAAAACCTTTCAGATAGTTTTTTCTTTTTATTATTCGGCTGTGATGTTTAATTATTTTTTTTTTTATCTACAAACACTTCCTGTGCCAATTATTCTGAGTTACGTGATGCACTTTGAGTAATGGCCTGGATAAGAGCAACAAATGATAAAAGGCATTACGTAATGGCAGATAATTCAAGAGCAACATGAAAAAAAAATGTTTATTTCACTTCAAGCCAGTCATAAAACGATGTGTTTTTTTTCTGTGCAAGTCTAACTGCTGGTTATGGGCAACAAATGCCCCATACAAACTCAAGCACACATGCACCAAACATCCTGTTTAATCTGACAGTAATTTCCACAAGAGATTAAGGAAACTAGGATTAGTGTTCCACAACCTGAAGCATCTGATGCTACGCAGGGTTGTTGGAAAACCTGCCTATATTATGAACATTCTCTGTCAGGGGTCATCAAGTCATTTCTGCCCCTTAGTTCAATAATAAAATGTGCCCAGTGCTTTCATCATCAACTGATGGCCCGTGGGCCATTTGGAGTTTGTTGAAGGGGGGCTTTTCCGGCCAGTGGGGGTGGCATTTTAAAACTAAAAATATACAGTGACTTTTAAAACTGCTTATAATCTTTTATGCTTTGGGACAAAAGAAAAGAAAGTATTCATGTAAACAACAAAAAAAAAAACAATTTATAC